CTGACTCAGTTTCCCAGTCTGTAAAATGGTGCCTAGCTTACTGGATTAATGGGAGGATCAATTGAAATAATAACATAAAGCACATAGACTTAATAATCATAAACATTCATTGTTATTAGAAGTTCACTTATTAGTAATTGCTAAATTTTATTAAGAATTTATTACATGCCAAGCATTTTTCTAAATGAAGCAAGTATCAGTATTATCTCCATTTAACGGATAAGATAAACTGAGACATTGAAAGGTGATGTTATTTGTCAATCATTGCATAGCTATTAATGTGTAAAGCTTGAATTTAAGCTCCAATGATCTGGCTCCAGAATCTATCTACATGCTGAATCATTATATTATACTTTTAACTCAAACAAAAAAGTCGAAAAATTAGAAACATAGATATGAAAAAGATAAAACAAGCTTTCAATTCTATTACCTGGAGATAAATAGAGTCAAATATTATTTCTTAATAACATAATTGCTTTTCTTCTGGGTTTATGTTTTCTTAAAATGTGATTATTCTGTTAAAATTCAAACAGTTTATTTTTTAAAAAAAATAATCATTTGTTTAATTGAAGAGGAGATACAGTGAATAAATCAGGCTAGTTAATAAGCCTGACCAAGACTTCTGCTATATATTTTTTTATTACTTTAACTTGAAATGGATTTTTCTTTTTATTTATCTGATTATTTTCAAATTGTGCTACAATTTTCATTTGTATCTAAGCAATTATAAGTGAACTCTAAAGACATAATAAATGTGGCAGCTGAAAATCTCAAGAGGAATTTTTTAAGGCTCCAAAATAACAAAAACAAAACAAAAACAAAAAGAAAGCCTCTGGATGAGAGAGAATTTTGAAACTTAAAATCATTATGAAATGCATGAAAGAAAAGACCGACATGTTTGTTCATAAAAAATTATTAAGTATGTCACTTTTAAATGTCTAACACACATTTAAAAGACAAGGAAGAAAAATAAAAAAAAAAATTAACCACAAATAATGAAATTAATTTTTTTAATATATTTAAAAACACATAAATTGATAATAAAACTGAATAATGTTAAATAGAAGGGCAAAATATACTATCTGTTAATTAACAAAATGGTAAATACAAATAGCTAACATAGATATGTAAAGATAGCATATTAACAATAAAAGTGGAAATTAAATTAATGAATGCCATTGTCTTAACAGACTAATAATGCCTAAGAATTTAGACTTTTGTAAAATGGTAGAACAGCATCGAACACGTTGTAAAGATGTTTTTCCAGATAACAATCCCTCATTGTCTACAAATGGCTGAATGCTACCAGTGTAAACCCATCCATTTATAGGTGTGGACACAAGAACCATGTTGGAACATGCCAATAGCCATTCCCGATCGGGATGTGTCTCTTATAAATGTAGACTGAGAAGCAGCCAAGTAATCTCATCTCCTGGCTAAAAGTTTAAAGCATGATCTGAAAATCTGTAAAGTGGGATAATGGAGAATCAGCCAAGTAGTTTTGTAGAGAGTGAGAAAAGTGAGGGACAAAGGGGAAAAGAGTAGGAGAGTCAGAGAGATGTGGCAAATGGCTTTTCATATCCCATTCAGTCTCTGCCTATGACCTGACCTTCTTTCCTATGAGTTTTAAGAAATCTCCATGTCTCCTAATAATAAGTAAATATTTTTTCCTCAACTTGGTATTTGAACCAAACTCATGTTAGAACAAATTATTTGAAAAAAATAATTTGGAAGACAAACCACAGACTGGGGAAATTATTTGCAAAAGACATAACCAATAAGGGATTGCTATCCAAAACATACAAATGGCTCTTAAAACTCAATGATAAGAAAACTAATAACCCAATTTAAAAATGGGCAAATGATCTGAATAGACACCTCATTAAAGAAGAAATTCAGGTGGCAAATATGCATATGAAAAGACTGGCATCAGATGCTATCAGGGAATTTCAAAATAAAACAACAATGAGATATCACTGCATATCTACTAGAGTGGCTAAAATCTGAATCACTGACAACGCCAAATGCTGGTGAGCATGTGGACCAATAGGAACTCTCATTCATTGCTGGTGGAGATACAAAATGACACACCCACTTTGGAAGACAGTTGGCAGTTTTTTACAAAACTAAACATGCTCTTACCATATGATCCAGCAATCATGCTCCTTGGAGTTTAACCAAAGGAGCTGAAAACTTATGCCTACCCAAAAACCTGCACAGAGATTTATAGCAGCTTTATTCACAATTGCCAAGACATGCAAGCAACAATATGTCCTTTGGTAGGTGAATGGAAAAATAAACTGTAGTATATCCAGACAATGAAATATTATTCAGCACTTTAAAAAAAAAAAAAAAAGAGCTGCAGAGCCATGAAAAGACATAGAGAAAACTTAAATGCATATTACTAAGTGAAAGAAGCCAACCCCAAAAGGCGATATATTGTAAGATTCCAACTATACGACATTCTGAGAAAGGCAAAACTATGGAGACAGTAAAAAGATCAGTGGTGACAGTCGTTAGAAGAAAGGGAAAAATGAATAAATGGGGCACAGAGAATTTTTAGGGCAGTGAAACTATTCTGTATGATACTGCAGTGATGGATACAGTCGTTATACATTTGTCAAAACCCGTAAAAAGTACAATAGTGAACTCTAATGTAAACTCTGGATTTTGAGTGAGAAAGATATATCAATATAGGTTAATCAATTGTAACAAATATGCCATTCTGGAGGAAATGTTGATAGCGGGGAAGACTACATATGTGTAGGAACAAGGAGCACATGAGAACTGTCTATACTTTCTGCTCAATTTTGCTGTAAACTTAGAACTATTCTAAAAAAAATGTCTTTTTTAAACAAGCAATTTGAGAATATTTTTAAAACTTTAAAAATCTCATAAGACAAGTTCAATAATCCTACAACTAAGCATATATCTTAAGGGAGAAAATTCAAAACAATCCAACAGCTATATTGTAAAAATGCATTGTGTAAAACATTTTGAACAAAAAAGTTAATTGCATTGTTATGTATAAAAGCAAAGAGCAGGAAAAAAATACAAACACTTAACAAATTAAAAAATGGTCAAGTTGTAATAGATTTATACAATTCAATATTATGTAAAATTAAAACCATAAAAATCTTATTTAAAATTGATAAATTAATAGTTTCTAGTACTAGGTGAGAAGATTATAATAGAAACATCTATTTCCTGGCTTTACACAGTTTTAACTGTAACATTCTGGTTTGCATTTTACAGCACAAATAGTTAAATAGTTTAAAACCATTAATAAGAAAATTATGTCTAAGATTGCAATTTTAGAATTTTAGGTAGTATGGCAATCTACTGGGAAATTTTTTGTTTGTTTTGTTCCAAGCAGGTTTTACAGTGCTCTTTATTATCTATCATTTGATTGCTGCACTTTACCATTATATTCCAATGACTCTAAATGACAATAGCAAAATTATTAGGAGCAATTTTCAAGTGCTATTCTCTCTAAATATCATTTATTTAATTTTAAATATATTAAATGACTAATAAACATTTATTTAGTTTTATTAGCAAATTCTCTTTTTAAACACACTGAAAAAGTACTTTTTCATAAATGTAAAGTCTAAAAATTATAAGAATTTTGCAAGAGTAAAATAAGTACTTTTGATTGCCTATAAACTTTTCTCATTAGAGCAGACTAACAGAGCTTCAAAAATATAGAATTCAAAATTGAAAAATATGTCATTTTAAGAATATATATTTTCAGGAAATATCTAATGATTTGGGCAACCTTATAACATCTTTATTATTTTTTTTTTTATAAAATATCAACTGGTTGTTAACAAACCAGCATTTACCTTTCATTTTTTAAAATGTATTCTTGTCGATATTAACATTAAATTAGCACAAAGCAACCAATATCAAGTTATCTTGAAACATTCTATAATATAAAATTATTTTAAAAAATCTAAAGTATAGTCTTTGTTTATTTCTAAGCCTGTTAAGTTACTTTTGCTTGCTGTATTATCCCTAGAATACACTCTAAAAATAGTATTGTATTTATTCATTTATATATAGAAATCATGATCATTGTAAAATCTCAATGCTGTTATTTATTTTTTACTCAATTGTTTGTAGCATATATTTTTTCCATTCTCAGATAATGTCAATATACTCTGTTTACAAAGTTTGCACCCAGTGCTACCATGGTTATTTTGGGCTCTGGAGCAGAATGGCTAAGATCGTAGGCTCTGGTACAGTCAAGTGTAGTGAGGATGGTATGATAAATAACTCACACAGATGTGAGATTTGCGTGACATAAATGTAGAAAGTGTCTAGTATCTGGTAGGTATCTAGTAAGAGCTTATTAAATATTCATATAATGAGTAACTGAAATCAAAGGAGAGATGTTATCATTCACATTTATCTTCTGTACAGATTACAATTTTATTCAATAATTTTTTTATTTTCCATTTGTAATATTATAAAAATTAAATTAGTTTTCATAGTTTTTCAAAATCACATCATTGTCAATCAGTAGTTGGCAATATATTCATTCTCATATTTAGTTTTCTTATTTTCAATTTAAACGTAAATGTTTATACTTTCTTAAAATTATATAATGTTCTCTTGCTATTTTGCAAATTTAATGAGAAGTTAGCAAAAAAGAAAAATGTCACATATAAATTTGTCATTGGTTAGTAATGAAAAGACATATGCTATTTTTCAATTAATTATAGCATTATTTCTTTGAGGGATTTTTTTTTTTTTTTTTAAGTTCTTGATGACTTTCTAAAAGGTCTCAATTACTGAAGTTGTCAAAGAAAGTTTCAGATTTCTTCCTTTCCCTCAGTCCATACCCCAGAACCAGCTTTCCTCTTGGGCATAGATTATACTTGAGTTAGAAGGAAGGCAGTTCAGATTGATAAAGCAATACCTCTGAGAAAAGATGATTAACATGCATAAAGGGATTTCCCTGCAGTATAAATACCAGCACGCGCCCTCTTGGTGCTTCAGAGCCTTCCTGATGTATATATGCAGGTAGTGAGATTTGAAAGAGCCCTTTGAGACGGTAATATAATAAAACTCTGATTTGAAGAGTAGCAGTTTTCCTCATTTTTCTGCTCTCTTTTGGGGATGAGTTGCCAACCTTTTACTTCGGCTGATACCTTTATACCTCTGAATTCTGAGTCTTCTGCAACTCTGCCTCTGATAATGCATCACAGTGCTGCTGAGTGCCTACCAGTCTCCAACCATGCCTCCAATGTGATGTCTACAGGTACTGACTTCAATAACAATCTACAAGTGGCTGGGCGTAAAGATTTTCAAATGGATACTTTGAATCTTGTTAGTTTAGAATGTGTTTGTTTTCTTTTCTTTTTTTTTCCCCTTCATTTAATATGCTTTCAGTTATATAGTAAGGATATTAAAGAAGTCAAATGTCTAAGAAATCTTTCAAAACATATTAATAAGTAATAATTTAAATATTGTTGGTTTGATTATAAAGATCTGTTCTTTACATAAGTAAACAATGAGTTTGGCTATTTTTAATTCAAAACCAATTTAATGGAAAGTTTATAAATATAGAGAAAAACTAAAGAAACAGTCTAAAGAAATTTAGTGTTTTACAAGTGTTACTTCTATAACTTAAAGATTAATTTGTTTTGTTAGGTTACATTTGTTACTACTCTAAAAACAGCCATTTACCTCATAGCACATATGACTAAATAATTCCTACTACCAGCAATTATGGATGTCAAAGAATAAACTAATAATTATAATAAACTTACCTTTTTAGCATAATTCAAAACTCAAAAATCAAAACTAGAAGCAATATATAACATTTAGAGCCCATGAACTGAGTTAAATTTTCCCATAATTGAGTTGTGAAGAGATTTCAACTTCTAACCAAGTTTTAATATTTTCTCGTATAACTTTTTTAAGTGAAAATTAAACTTGAGAATCCAAATATATTATCTTAAACACAACCAAATAAATGTCTTGCTAATGTATAATCCATTCTTTATGTAGTAACAAGTGTTTTAAAGTAGAATTATAAATAGACAAAGTCTTGAATTGAATAAATTTCTCCCATTAAATAGCAATATACTGTTAACTTTTCACTTGTTCTGAAAGCAATCAAAATATGAAATAAATTTTATATCTTTTGAAATTAAAATCTGAGTTGATAAATTTATATTCTGATTTCAAGAGTTAAGTTTTATCTTTTATTATAATTAGGCAGTTTCCGAATACGTATGTAGTTTTGGCATTAATCTTCAGCTGAATTTTAAAGATAAAATTACGTAAAGATAGAGATTTGGTAAAGTTATTAGAGGTTTTTTTCATCTACCTAAGATTCTTATAACTTAATTGAAAGATAATAATGGAAGTGCACACAAATATATTTTTGAAAATATAATGAAGTATTTTAACCAACATTATGTACCATAAAAAATTTAAACTATGAAAACATAGCTAATTGTATATTTTAAATAATAGATCTTTCTATAAATAGAAGATGAGAAGAATAATATATTGTTTGTTTAATCTAGTGTATGATTATGATTTGGCCAGAATTAAAATAAAATTTAGAATTGAAGTAATGATATAGCATATTTAGGCTCAAAATCTTTAATTTATTTTTAAAATGTATTTGTTTTCAAATAAGTAAATTACACATTTAGCAAATTGGCCTCACATTTATCTAACTTCCCCAAATTAGCAAAACAAAAGGTATTTAAACATTATGAAGTAGAAAACTTTATAATGTGTAAAAATGACCTATTTTATTGTATCTATTATTTAAACATGTTTTTAATACTAATAGCATTGATTTTTTTTTATTTTTCCATCAAATTATAATCATATACCTGTAATTATCTAAACAAGGAATTAGAAATATTGGTTATGAGAAAAGCACTTGTGTATTTAATGTGTTTTATGGTTATTTGTTTAATTTTCAAATGCATAGTAAGGTTTTTATGTGTAACCATGTTGTAAAATGACTTCAGTTCTTTCTACATGTCATTTGTAAAATAAAAATTTATAGAGATATTTTAAAATATTAAATATTGTTCTATAGTTAGAAATATTTTACTTTTTGAAGAGACCTCATATTTTTAATCGCTAGATTATATCTTAAAATTTTCAAAGGATCCACAGTCTACACTTTATAATATTGTTAATATTTATTCAAGAAGATATGATTATATTATATTTCTGAAAAATCCAACACTATACTTAGGATATGAAGGAAAATAAGAATAAAATACATAAGGAAACATTGGCTAATGATTTTATTGTCAATAGTCTATGTTTTTAGTCAGATGTTTAAAACTTGATATAAAAAAAATTAGAAATTCAAATTTACTTCCAAAATACACATTGATTCCACAAAGTATATGACTATTTATGAACAAGTTTATGTTTATATACCAGGCACAACCTTTATAGACATCATCACTCAATGATCAATGAACTTATTTTTTGACCAGCATTATTATTAGAATTGTTAATTGACTTTGTGCATTCAGAAAACCTACAATCTCAAAATTTCAAAATCAATATAAACACATCATGCATCGTTAAAAGTTTTTCATAAACCTCTAAATCTACTGGGATTTTTATGATTGTATCCAATAGGAGGCTAGTTGCTCTGCCATTTCCCCTTTAATGGAATTAAATTTGTTATGAGAATAAGCAAAAGTAAAGACTGTTCAAGAGTCAATTTCTCTATTTATTCTTTCAGAGAAAGAACACTTTGTAATACTAGGTTATGCAAGAATTTTAAGAGACTATTCTTCTAGTCAGTTTGTTGCAATGTCTGTACTAGATGGAGTCTATAAGAATTCTGCAACTTTCAGTTAGCCAAGATCCAAACTGGTCAGTCATCTCTCACAGAGCATAGGATAATCAATGAAGGCTGTAGTCCACTGTGATGATTTAGGATCTCATTATTTGAGACAAACTTTAACTAGTTTTAACCTATTAGACAACTTCCCCCTAATGAGAATGAAAAATTAGCATGTAAATTAAAGAATTAGCATGTAAATGTGTTATTTTTTAAAATGAAATGAATATGTCTTGAATCCTCATACATTTTCTTACCAGTCCCGTCTATTTTGTCTTTGACCCAAACTTCTAAATGTTTGTATACGTATTTCTCCGTGACAATGTTGGGAAACACAGCAACTGGACTTCATTACTCTGTTCCTTCCTGTCATTATGGAAACCAGCCATCAACCTATGGAGTGATGGCAGGTAAGAAAAATTGTCTTTACATATAAGATTTAGTTTGGGGACTCTTAGATAGACTTCCTGAGTCTGAGGCAATCTTGACCAGAGTGTATCATGAAATTCTGATCTCTTAACTTTGGCAATTTGGTAAAACTACCATGTATTAAAATGTTCCCTTATCTATGATGCCTGATTGCTCCTATGCTGTGCTTTACTGCTGTGATCCTTAACTCGTTTGCTTTGTATGATTTTTAATCTAATTTACTACTGTTGAACCGCTGATTGTCACTTGTCGATGCTGTTGATTGGTTTGCTGCAGTAATAGTATGGTAGCCATTATCCTCAAATGGCTATTTAAATCTAAATGTAAATTAACTAAAATTGAGGTCAAACTTAAAATTCAGTTGCTCAGTTGCACTTGCCACACTTCAAGTGTTCAATTACCTTATGTGGCTACCAAAGTGAACAGCATAGATTTCTAAAACATCCCCCTCACTGCAATATTTCTTCTGGAGATTTGGTCCATAAAGATAAATAAGATATTGAAGGCTAGAAGTGATTTGCAGTGGCTTTAACAATAGCCCTTGGAAACTGACAGTTCTGAGTTGATTCTGAGTCTTAAAAGAGAGAAATGGTTGAAATTACACACATTTCTCTTCTGAATAAATAAAACATCACTAGATCAAGACTATCTATTTATTGATGTTTGAATGAGGGGTGGATAGCACCACATTTTGATTATGAAAACAGGAAATGATAAGCACATGGTCATGTGCTGCTCTCTCTTGGAGGAGAGGACTTGCTGTTCTTTTCAGTGATTTCCATGAACCCAGGTGCAACTTTATGCACCCTTGAAACTCAGCAAATGCAACAATGGATTGAGGTTAGCACAAAGATAAAATTAGCCACAGACCAAATATTTGTTTTTTGTTACCACCTCTCTCCCCACCAGATCAAGGCCAGAGCCTGGGAGCCTGGTAAGTTCACAGCTGGCCTGAAAATTCTAACATCCTTACAGTTTCCAAAATTGGAGCGAACAGGTTCAGGTTCACATTTACAGTCCACAGGCAGCTCAGGTTGTGCTGGCACAAGTTCTCTGGGCAGCCACTCAGCAAACCTGGAGTGTCTTCTGGAAAAGCCTTTTAAAATGACTCAAAACCCGGGTTAGTGACATCAAAAGCAAATGGTTATCCTAAGATTTAGAGGTATCACTGTGGTATTAAAACAAAATTAAATATCTTTGTTACTGAAAGAAAAACTCACCATAGTAACCTTAGTGAGTATATTTGAATATTTTTTTAAAGCAATATCAATAAAATGTGATATGCTTTGTAATTTCTTAGACTGTCTCTATTTTGACATGTATTCAATATTAGTATTTGCATCATGGCAGATTAAATTCAGAGAATCTAAACTCTCCTGCCTTCATCCCCCGAGAAGCTACCCGAATTGAGTTATAAAACATAGGAATCCAGAAATAATACAGGAAAGGTATAAAACACACAAGAGAAACCTGGTTATGTCATTTGAATTTTCTGAGAATTCTCAAGGCGTTCATCAAAGCAGCCTCTTCCACACAATCTGGAGAAGTGTCTAATCATCAACAAAAAAGACAGATTCATTGTCACATACTTCATATAAAAGTGAAGCTACAGAAAGCACTATATTTCAAAGGATGTGAAATTGCTTTATTTTAATGTGGTTATTTTATTATCCATGCTCTGATGCTTACATTTAGTTTGAGCATTTCATTAAATTAATAATCCACTGGAAGGGAAGAACGATAGCAAATATTTTGTTAAGGTTAGTAGAGAAGACTTTAATTATCATATTAATCCACTGTGCCACATAGTCCAGGTGTGGGCATACCAAAGATAATGACTAATCAAGAGCAATGAATTGGCCACACCATGAACTAATTATAAACCTTGTTCGTCACTTAACATCTCTTGAGTTTCAGTCTCTTCATATTTAAGTTGAGTGGGTACCAAATCTCTGTTGGATTTCAGTTATAGCTAATTCGTACTGACTCAAGCTGTCTTTCTCCTTTGGTCTTCTCTTTAGATACACTCGCAGATAAATTCCTCTTCAGTCCCTTTACTTCTGAGAATTTAGGTAATTCAACCGCCAACAGTATAGATAAAAAAACCCAGGAATTGTAAATGCTATTCAAAATCTCTTCTGCATAAACACAAACAAAACAAAATAACAACAAAAACCCTCTAAATTTGGATTCTTGGGTACCTGAGATTGTTTCTGCTCACTAGTTTTTAAACCTGATGAAGGTTAGGAAATAAGCTCAATGAGCTGCCCACCCTGCCCACCATTCTGTGGAAACTGAGCAAATCAGCTCTACATGATAATGAATGCTTACTCAGCCAACAAAGTTACATTACATGACGACCGAACCAAGACCTAGTGCGAGTCCTTGTTTAAAAAGTAATTTTAAGAGGAAAGCAAAATAACTGAGGTTTGAGAATTAACCAAAAAGATCACTTATTTTATGAGAAGTGGATAAGAGAAAAGATTACTATGGCTGAAAGTGCTCACTCCAACCAGACTAATGCAAAAGACAACAGAAATCAGTTTGATAGTTGACATAGAGAAATAGTCTACCTTGGGGCTATCTCTTCATTCTTAATCTTTTTTTTCTTTTCTCTCTTTTTTATTTTTTTCTTTTTCTTTTTGGGTGGGGTGGGAGGGTGGGGGGAGGTTATTTTTCCTTAACTTGTTCTGATTATGTTGACTCTGGGGGAAGGAGTAATTCTGAAGATCTTTTGCCTCTGGATTATAAAGGGTCTTTCAGTAGCAGTAACATGATGCATTTTTCTTAAGTTTTTTAGTCTCTGTCTCAGCTACTCAATTAGGTAATTTTTAGCAGCAAAGCAGCCATAGGCAATATGTAAACAAATGGCCAGGGCTATATTCCAAATAAACTTAAATTACAAACCCGAGCGGAGGAACCCTGATGTACATGGTTAGGATTACCAATGTACAAAAGAGAAAATATAACAAATTTATGTGATTCAAATGAAATTCAAATTTATGATTTGCTTCACATTGTCATGCATGGGGAGGATAAATGAAAATATTTAAATGAACATTCTTGTACATGTCTATAGCAAGGTGATATATTTTACTAGTTCCCTCTGCTTCTCCTGTTCTTTTAAATCTTCAAGTCCATAACCTCAGAGATGTTGTCAGTTAGCATTTGGCAGAGCCACATGCTACAGAAGAGCAATTTGCCCCATATCATGGTACATTGAGCCAGAACCCTGCAAGGCAAGCCAGTCCTCTGCATCCTCATTACCTGCTTTAAAAGATTTATCTCTGTTCTCCCACCTTCACTACACAGAAATACATACCGAGCAATTCAGAAAGGCTGTAATGTATTAATCCGCAATATGAAAATTTACTTTGGGCTATAAAGAACGTGCAGACACTTCCAAGCTATTTAGGTGTGTGCTTGTCTAGACTTCTAGACAATTTTGTGCACTAAAGATTTGGCAATTGTATATGAGACCTCTGACGCACAATATTCACTGCATCTTTCATCCTCTTCTTTTTTTCTTTTTTCAATAACCCAGGCTTTAGAAAGATTTAAAAAATATCTTGTTATATATACCATACCACTGGCTCCCTACTCTCTCCTTTCTCTCATTTGATAGAAACTGCAGTTTGTTTGGCTATGCTTATGACTGTCATTATGAATTTCTCTTGAAGGTTAGTTCCAGAAAAATGGTGTCCCTGTGGCTAATTGTGGTTACTTTCACTTAAAGAAAAAAATATATATATATCACACATTATGTTTTCCTTTTTGCTCTGGATGTCAAAACTTTAAACATGGTATTTCCTGTGTTCTTTTCATAGACTCTTGTTTAAATTTATTTTCTAAATGTTTGTTTTCCAGAGTATTTATAATGTATAAACTACCTTTAAAGTTTTCAGAAATGGAGATGGCACACTTTTAAAATTTTAATGAATAATATTTTTGTATGAAAACATTTGTTTAATGTAGCCAAATACGTTTAAACAGCAAAAGTTTGAAAGGAAAGTCATTAGATTTATCTGAGCACAGACTGCCTGGAAAATGAACTAGGTGATTATTTTGATGTGGTTTATTGCAGTGTTCACTGGAGTTCAGTTCTAGTTTCAACTGCATAGTTAATTCAATTTTTTTAACTTAAGTTTTCTAAATTTTAAATTGCATTCTAAAAAATACATATCCTTCCTATCTGGTTTGTTTATATAATGATAAGAAAATGACAGATGTGAAATAAATACAGCACAAATGTTACACAGAAAATTTGTAGCAATATGTGACTATGATCAGCAAGAAAAATTGAAAATAATGATCAAGATTGCTAATAAGTTCAGATCTCATGGCATTGCATGTAAAAGATATGCAACAAATTACTTATGTAAAATAAAAATAATTTGACATAGGTTATATGAGTTAGCCAAAATGCATTAAAATACATTAAATGTTCAAAATCATATAGCAGCCTGTCTTTTTCTCTCTGTTTGTATTGTTTCTTAGAGTATTTCGTCATTAAGTATATTAAGTGACGTATTTCTGAATGATGACAGAAGTGAAAGTTTTTTCATGTATATAAGAAGCAACTCTGTAAGTCATAAGCAAAAGAAAAATTGAGATAAATATTAAGAAATGCTAAAATAAATGTGATGAGTTATATATATATGTATATATATATTTAGTCATTCTTTTATTTTAATAAGCAGAAATCTAAAACTCATAGAAAGCTAAAAATGTGCCCCAAAAGTAATGAACATTTTCAATAATGAGCTATGTAATAAATTTTAAAATAATACTTTTTTAAAAAATTTTATCTAGTCTGATCAATATACCACCCACTAAAGCACTAAGTAAATGATTAACTGACATTTTAGAAAGTAAAACTGGATAATTTGGTTTGTAAAAGCAGCATGACACTTTCTAGACAGTAATTTCTTTCAAATATTTTTTACATCTGTGAAGCAGCTTAGTTTATTTTATGACATTTTGTTTAATTTCTCACTCGTATGTTTACTTTGCCTCAGAAAAAGAATATGATCTTTAGGAAAAAGGGACACTATAATTACATATTCTCATATAAATAATATAAGCTAACAATTTGCTGACTTACACTATTCTTTACTCATTACATATTGATATATTACTGTAACATCTACATATTCTGGCAAAATACATTATTACTCACATCTTTGATTTGTGAATGTATTTATAAAGAAATTATAGATAGCATAAACTCTTGATGTATTTTTTCATTGTTTCCAAAAATGATTATTTCATATATTCTGTAGTAATTTATTTGTAGCTTAAATATTTATTTATACTCATAAGAAACATGATTAATTACTAAACATTTTATTTATATCAAATGTGTTATTTAATATAAATTATAACATGTCATTTAATATAAATTGAAGCGAAATCTCTACCAATTAAGATGTATTGTATTGATGAAGAAAACATAAATAAAATGTGTGTGAATTGGCTTATATTATTCCCTCACCCATGCTCCCCAGCTGAGACAGACTCTTCTTTACTAATGAAGAATAAAATCTAGAAGTAATTTAAAAATTTTTAAATACTTTAGTTATTTTGTGATTTACCATTTAACTCACTCAATCAATAAATACAATGCTTCATTATTTATGGGTGATTACCTACCACACCTAGAATTCCACCTTTCCTTGCCACTTATTTTTGCTTCTTATATAATTATCAAAAATCACTTCATTGTACTTTTCAAGAAACCTTGTTACTGACTTTTTAATGGAACTTTAAAAATTGCCTTTTGGTCACTCCTTGGATCTATTTAACCATATTAATGTAGTTTATATTCCCATAATTCACTTTTTACCTGCCTTTGTTAAATTTTAAAAAGACCCAATTATTTCTCCTTGAAGTTAGGCATTTACTGATAGATAACATTGTAAAATAAATTTTCTAATTCTAATAAAACTTTCCAGCATAGCACTTAACTATGTGCCTTGATTATAACAAACATCACAGATTATTTGTTCAATAAATTAAGAAAATAGAGATCAAAATATATATTCTGGTTAGAGATGAACCTCAGATTCCCAGGAATAGTGTCTTTAAGAGAAAAACTGATGGGAAATGTACGCTTCTGAGAGAATTTGCTTATTTCTATTTTAATTATTTGCAATTGCCTACTTCTTTCCTTTGGCATTATCTTTGTTTTTGTTGCTCTGAGAAGGTAGAAAATAAATAATCACATTTATATTAAGATATTCTGACTTCTACTTCAGAAGACTGAATGTCAGTTAACCTTTCAGGATTGAAGCTGGGTATAGCAAAATAATGGGCTCTCACAAACGAAGACCTTGCTTGTGTAGAAAAGGGGAGGAGTAATTACAAATGTTCCTGTCCTTTTCTTTCTTTGTTTATTCACAGGTAGCTTAACCCCTTGTCTTTATAAGTTTCCTGACCACACCTTGAGTCATGGCTTTCCCCCCATGCACCAGCCTCTTCTGGCAGAGGACCCCACAGCAGCTGATTTGAAGCAGGAACTCAGGCGGAAAAGTAAATTGGTTGAAGAGCCAATAGACATGGATTCTCCAGAAATTCGAGAACTTGAAAAGTTTGCCAATGAATTTAAAGTGAGAAGAATTAAGTTAGGTATGCACTTTTTAAGAACAATGGGGAACACAACTTGGTCTGCAAATCCTTACTATATCAATGTTCAGTCTCTTCTACTCTGTTCAAAAGTCCAAGGCAGTTCTCATTCTACATCTCTACTGTGTATTTAAGTTAGTCCAATTGCGAAAATCCTACATAAACCTTTATTTCCTTGTAAATTCTTAATAGCCTAAAATACATAGATTTTTAAATTAATGGCACTTATTTTAACTTAACCACATCAAGATTAGTTTAGAAGTGCCTGGTTTTCTCTATATTTTAATCGAACTTTTGAATAGATGACACATTCATATGATTCAAAGGTGTAAAATTATAAATAAAATTTATCTCTTCTGCTTATCTTTTCTGTTTCTCAGTGTTAGTTTTTTTTGTGTATCCTTTCAGAGATATTTTATGCATATATAAGCAGATACATATATTTATTTCTTTATACAGATTTTTAAAATTTAACTTTATTTTGAATATTTCTATATTAGCTTTTCAAGAGTTTTTCTTTTTTTTTTTTTATTCCATTTTACAGTGTATTTAGTCCCCCACCGATAGTATATTTGTGTGGTCTCCAATCTCATGCTATTAAAAACAATGCTGCAATGATTAACTTCATAAATGTAATTTTGCATATATATATATATATATATGCATAGGAAAAATGTTAAAAGCAAAATTACTTGATCAAAGAGTATGTACACTTGTAATTTTGATAAATGTTGTCAAATTGGTCTATCTAGAAGTTATTATTAAATTTTACTGCCATCATGTTTCTTTTGCTACCCTCAGAATATAATCTCCATGAAGGCAGGAGTTTTTGTTTTTGTTTTCTCTTGAATAGCATATCCTCAGCAGTTAGTGACTGGCCCATAGAATAATTAATTGTTGAAGGAAAAATATGCGGTTAGCTTTTTGGATCTTTGCAAATCAAATAGGTCAAAGTGATACCTCATGGTAATCTCATTTTAAATTTCTCTTTGAGTGAAGATTGAAATGTGTTCTTTTATGTGTTTGACAGTCATTTGTAATTCTTTTTCTGTGCATTGTCTGTTCACAACCTTTGCTCACTTTCTATTGAAAAGTGTTTTTAACATAACTACCTTGATTTAAATTCATGAAGTAGTGATTTTTTTTAATGGATTAAAAATGATAGTACAAACTTCTGTACTAGAGAAATAAACCACAGGTAATTTTGCAATAATATTTATTGATGGATATCATATGTAACTACTATATGCCTAAAAGTATATAGCCTTAGGCCCCGAATTAATATGTAGTTACCATATATGAAAAACACAACAATAGGCATTTTATAACCTTCATTTTGAGTTATTTATATTGTGAATGTTTCAAATATGGTATTGATGGTTTATATCAACTTGTACTCTAAAAATGTTTGGACAATCATGAGGATCTTTGCCTGGAGATAGAAACATTACCAAATGATATAATAAATGTGCTTGGAGGTATCTATAAAATGTTGGGTGATCATAGTCTTACAATAAAGATGTTTTTAAGAAAAGCAAGTATAAGTTTTAGTTTTATTTGGTACCCTTCAACAATATTTTTTCACTCTTACAGTTGATATAAACAATATATATATCACCAAAATATTTTATGCATTATATTTAATGTACTACAGAACTTCGAGCATATATCATCATATTTTATAATAGCAAAGAGGGTAAGAATGTTTAAGTGTCTTATGAAGTGTTTATGACACATCTATCCAATATGACTAAATATTATGAATGGCATATGTTCTTATCTGAATTCTTCTGATTTGTAGGAAAAAAATAATCAACCAGAAGGAATATTTTTTGAAGTATTGGACAATTTTACACCGAACCTTACTGAAAAATTCTAAATTACCAACAAATATATGCCTACAAGCAGTATTTAATAATTGACAAAGAAAGATAGACAGATTTGTGTGATATTGGACCAAAACAAATACTTTTTGAAAGCTGAAGCTAATGGCCTTTATTGTCCTTCCACAGGATACACCCAAACAAATGTTGGGGAAGCCCTGGCAGCTGTGCATGGCTCTGAATTCAGTCAAACAACTATCTGCCGATTTGAAAACCTGCAACTCAGTTTTAAAAACGCATGCAAACTAAAAGCAATACTATCCAAATGGCTGGAGGAAGCTGAGCAAGTAGGAGGTACTAAAGCTATATCTCTAAAGTCTCTGTGATCTTTTAACCTAAAAACAATGGCTTTAGTTGGTAGGATTAATGTTAAAGTTCAGTTTGATTTTGTTTTTCATTTCGAGATGAAAAATAAATATCTTGTTTCATCACACTTAAAGAAGGCTAATGCAAGTATAGAAATAAATTTACTGAGAGGGTAGTGAGAGAATAAACTGTGTAAGAACAGCTTTCTAGACAGAGTGACATAGGTGCGAAGTGGCAAAATGAATTTTTCTAACACATCCAGGTGTTTTTTTATTTTTTTTTTGCCTCTGTGCTATACCATAGTGGTTACACATGAGTCATTTTTATAACCTAATACTAGTATAACAAGAGCATTTATACACATCAAGTCTTCCGAGTGAGTAACATAAGCAATTGCTAAATGAGCCATTTTTAAAAATTTTATTTTTCAATTACAGTTGCCGTTTAATATTATATTAGTTTCAGGTGTATAATTTAATGTGGTAAAATTATGTACTCATACTAATGTCTAGGTTGGAAAATTAGAATGGTTTGAGAGCATTTAGAGCAAAATGCTTCAACAAAAGTAAGGTAGGGATATGATTTATAGACAATTGTCTTTGCAATGATAATATTTATTTCTTAATTAACATTTTTATTTAGGGCTTGTAATATAAAATGACATAGATTGAAAAAAATTAAAATTAAAATATATAGTGATTTTGTTTTGCATTATTTTATAAAGAAAACTTGAAATGCAAATCTAAACTTTCTTTAAACCTATTTTGTTTTGGTAATTATCT